CTGTGAGGCCCCTGGATGGCTCTGGTCATGTGAGGATTCCCTAGAAAGCTCCACAAGTAATCCGGGAATGAGAACCCACGAGCAGGTATACTTCCTGCATTCGTGGGATGATGGCTCAGACTGCTGTTAATTTTAGAATTGGAGAGAAATGACACCCTAACAACTGTAAAAGTCAAGGTCATCTGGACCACAGAACGAATACACAGCTGCCTCTTGAAATGACACTGGGTATTTTTGTCAATGTTCTCTTCTTAACCTGCTGCACCCCAAGATCACAAAGCAATGACAATGGGGTGTGCCTGAGTGGCTCAGTCGGTTAAGCATCCAACTTCGGCTCAGGTCATGGTCTCACAGGTCGCGGGTTTGGGCCCCACGTTGGGCTCTGTACTGCCAGCTCAGATCCTGGAACCTGCTTCAGATTCTGTATCTCCCTCTCTCTCTGACCCTCCCCTGCTCATGCTGTCTCTCTCTCTCTCAGAAATAAATAAAACATTAAAAAAACATTTTTTTAAAAACAAAGCAATGACAATGGACTAGGGCCCCACTGTCTCTGATAAGAGGATTGCCTTAAAAGTCACTTGCAGGGAAGAGATTCCAAGTACAATCAAAGGCCCCAGTCCCCGGAGTGGGATGGGACTCAGCATCATACACAGCCTGGAGAAAAATCAAGGGCACACAGACATAGGGAAAGGGCTCGCTCCCTCCGGCCCATATGAGGCCTTTCTGATGAATATTTCTAACACCCACACCCCCTGTCATCTGGGGAAACTTTGAGACTCTCAGAACACTTTGTATCTGGCCTTACAACAGCCCAGGAAAGGTTACATTGATTCCAATCTTGTCAGTGGCTAACAGAGGCGAAAAGACTGGGCCAAAGGCAATGGCCAAGCCAAGGCTAAAACTAGTCTCCAGTTTCCAAGACCCACAGTCTTCTCCCAGGAGCCCTGTGGACCTTGGGCACTGACCAAGCACAATGTCCTAGTGTGAGGTTCCAGACGTGAGAAAGCTCTCTGTTCCAACTCCGCTGATTCAAGGGAATTAGCAGGAGCAGTTTCTCAACTGGTAGATCAATATTTCTTCCTCTTGGGGCGCCTGGGTGGCTCAGTCGGTCAGCGTCCAACTCTGGATTTCAGCTCAGGTCATGATTTCACGAATCATGAGTTCAGGCTCCACATTGGGCTCTGCACTGACAGCAAGGGGCCCTGCTTGGGATTCTCTCACTCCTCTCTCTCTGCCCCTCCCCCCCTCAAAAATAAATAAACTTAAATATATATATATCTTCCTCTTTCCTCTAGGCTGATGGGGAAGACACCTTCTGTAGCCTTCCCCGTGTTCCAAAAGCTTAGCTGCTGTGAAATGTCAGGGAAAGAGACTTGAACTTCAGTCTGAAGACCAGGGTTTTGATTCTGCCATTAACTAGCAAATCACTCAGCTGGTCACCTCCATGCTCTGAGTTTCCTCTTCTACCTAAGTGCAAATCCGCCATGTTCTTCTCCTGCCCCAAACCCTTCAGGGATGCCTATCACCTACCCAGCTGACATTCAAACAACTCTCCAATCAAGTATAAGTCACCGTCTAAACCTATTCGGAGAAGGGGGTTCTGTCCCTTCTGAGCTCAGCCAGTAAGGAGTTAGGCAGACAGTGAAGGGATGTGGACGTTAATTAGGTTCTGTAGACAATAGCCGGAAAGCTCTTCTTGGAGCTAGGGTTGACCTTCGATGGCCCCTTTACCCTACCTCTGTGGCTGTCCTGGACCCAATGACTACCAAGTGTACTCAGGCAGTCTCCTCTCTGTCTGCTTCTCAGGGTCGGTTCCGTCTAGGGTTCTCTCCATTATGTGTAGCTCTGACACAGCGATCACAAGGCCTGGAACTTCCTTAGTCACTAGTCAGGGACAGAAACTGCAAGTCCTGCCTCTTACCACAACTAAACATGGACTTCCTACCCTTCCAGATGGCCACCCTCCCCTCAGGGATGCCCATGGAGAAGCGTCATCATCCTGAAGACTGAGATGAAGTAAAGCGAAAATGAGAGCTCAAAATTTGGAACCATCCAGAGCTCAAAATTTGCCCTAAAACTTTCCCAGTGTGGCTATGGGGACAAGATGTCAACCCAGCCCCGCCCACAGCTTTTCTGGGGCTCACCACACTCCCTCCACCCACAGCCCTCAGTTCTGAGCTCTTCCTCCTCTCCCACGCTGCCCCCCTCTCTCAATCCACTACACATTTGTCTTCCCCAACAACTCTTCCAAGGTAGGCAAGGGCATTGTTCATATGGTAGTGGAAGCATGAGTTCTGGAGAGACCTGGGCGGTGGCCCTGGCACTCACCGGCTGAGTGACACGGACCAGCGACTTAGTCTCCCACCTCACTACTTCGTCTCTAAAACACCGGTAACGACGCCAATCTCGTGAGGTGGCAGCAGGGATTCAGTGAGACAGTGTCTGCCTAGATCGGGATACCCAACACTCGCTGGTAAAAAAAAAAAAAAATCTCCAAATCTCAGTAACTAGAAACAACAAGAATTCACTCCTCACTGAAGTCACAGGCTCACACAGTTTGGGTGGCTTTACTGAATCCTTCCCCTCCGAGATGTGATTCAGAGGCCCAGGCCCCTTCCATCCCCTTAGAATCCTCCACTGGACCCCTTCCAGAGAGCTGACAGAGGAACAAAGTCAGAGCTACAGGCCAGGCCAGGAAATCCAACTTCACATTGGCTAAAACCCAGTCACATGTCCCACCTCACTGCAAGGGAAGCAGGAAATATAGTCACTATGAATATCAGAAATCACAGAACCTTAGGGCAGAATAGTGAGAATACATAACTGAGTACAAACCGAAACAAACATAGGAATTTCTTTTATTAAAAAGGCATGGTGGGGGCACCTGGGTGGCTCAGTCGGTTAAACGCCCGACTTCGGCTCAGGTCACAATCTCTCGGTTGATGAGTTCGAGGCCCACCTCAGGCTCTGCGCTGACAGCTCAGAGCCTAGAACCTGCTTCGGATTCTGTGTCTCCCTCTGCCTTTGCCCTTACCCAGCTCGCACTCTGTCTCTCTCCCTCTCTCAAAAATAAATAAACATTTTTTTAAAAAGGTATGGTAATCGCATGTCTAACCTAATTCCTGTTCTGAGTGCTTTTTGTGAGGCAGCAGGGTACGTGGAGATGGCCTATACTCAAATGCAGGCTCTGCCCTGAGCAAAGCATTAATTCGTCAGCCATGATGACTCTCATCTGAAAACAGGAATGCTAATTTATGCACTTCACAAGGTTCTTCCAAAGCGCCATGTTCTCCCATCTCTAAGTGGGCATTGCCCTCTGTCCGGAACACCCTCCCCATATGCTCTTCACCCAGCTAGCTACCTCCTACTCATCCCTCGAGTATCAGCTTAAATATCACCTCCTTCAGGAAGCGTTCCCTGTCCTCTACCCCAAGTTATGGTTGAGTGCCTGTTTCCTGTGTACCCACATTAGCCTATAGTTCCTTCCCAGCACACTTCCCACAGCCTATTAAAATCTCTGTTTCCGTTCTGTCCCTAGCTGAATTGTAAATTTCTTGGGGGAAGGGACCTTGTTCTGATCACCATTTTAACCTCAGCTTTTATTCAGGATCTGGCCCAAACTGAGTGTACAGAAAAAAATTGTCATGTGAATGAATTAGGAATCCTGACTCTCCCTCAAAATGGCAATGGGGTAAGACTTTTAAACTCTTTTAACTCAAAAAAAAGTAAGTAAAGACAAGTTCAGCAAGAAACTGCCATGTACTCCTCCTTCAAAAGGTCAAGTGGCAACTGAGAAGTCATTTCAGAAGGCAGCCACACCCCTTGGGTCATGCCTGGATACTTCTGAGCAACTGGCCACTGTTAACCTTCCAGTTGAGCAATAGAGAGCGCAGAAAACATTCTCACACATTACAAACCCTGGAACTCTTTCTCGCAGCTGATCCGAGGGTGTGGGAATGAGAGCTGTTTACTTAGGGTGGCTCTGACTGACCCTGTGTCCCGCCTGCCTACACCACTCTCCACTCTCCACGTACTGAGGGCATCCCCGACCTTCACTAATCATCATCAAAAAGTGACGTCTTCCTAATCCTACAATAGACCCTCAGCCCAGAATAGGACCCCCTCCCCAATACACCCACATACTCGTAAGCAGGTGTGACCGCACAACCGAAGTGAAGGGGACAAGTTTGTCTCCCATGCTCTCGCATCTTTGGTGCACCTGGAGTGAAGTCTAATTTGAGTTCAGTGATACCAAGCATGAGTAACGGATGATATGCTACCCAGTCCCCCAGAGTGTTATTACCAGCGGGGGGGGGGGGGGGGGGGGGGGGGGGGGGGGATAAAGGCTCTAAACGTGAGATTTCAGGCAAGCTAGGGACACCAAAAGCAGCTGAAGGAGGTCCCCGGACACCCCTCCCAGACTATTAAGTCAGGTAGAGGACCCTCTATTTTACCATTCGGTTGGCTCCTAGCCCTACACCCAGGTACTAGGGCAACATCGGGTCACACACGTGTCCTAGCAATGTTCACTGAGCGCCTGAGACACTCTCCTCCCTTCCCCAGCTCCGAGCGAGCGCCTGGCCTTGGCCACAACTCCAATTCCAACCCTGTTTGTCCATCCAGCAAAATCCGCTCTGACAACCTCACCCCACCTTCTGCACCACACCCCCTACACTACACCCCTACCCCAGGCTGCCAGGGTGACTTTAACGCGATCGCACTGGGCAGCCTTGGAAGCGGGGAGGGGAGGGCTGTCCAGGGCCCGGTCCCCGCCCGGGACAGCCCTGTGCCGTCCCAGCCCCCCTCCCACTCCCCCGCACACATCCTCCGCACCAGAGGGGGCGGCGAGCGCCTGGCTGCTAGCTCAAGGTTGCGGGCAGCAGCCCACAGGAGCATCCGGAGGCGCGGCCTGGGGGCGGGGCGTCACGGGGCCCCGCCCCTCTGACGTCAGTTTCGCGGACCGAGAGCAGGGCAGCTCCCCCAGCCGGAGCTTTCAGAGGTAGAGCAGCGCAATCGAGGCTGGACGCGCGCGCGGCCCGGCTCTGGCTCCGGCTCCGGCCTCGGAGGATGCTGCGCGCCCAGGATGCTGCCGCGCCTGGTACTGCCCCTGGCGGTGCTCCTCAGCCTGCGCCTGGGCTCCGGCGCGCACGGTAAGGATCGCAGCCCGGCCCTGCCCTGCCCTCTCCCGCCCTCCTGGGCTGCCTGCGTGTCCACACCCGACTCCCACCTTTCGTCACCCCTACATTAAAGTTGTGCGCTCCACGGGGAGCTCCGTGTGGCTGTCCCTCTGGGGAGAGGGAAGCCCATTGTCCACCCCCGCCCAGAAGCTCCCTCATGCCGGCAAGCCTGAGTCTAAGGCTCCCCATTGTGGAAGTGGAAGAGCATTAAATTGATGGGGGGAAGGGAGGGGACAGAGAGGTCAAATAACACCCCCCGCCCCAGCTTATCGTCCATCCACTTCCAGACCGATCAGAAATTTAGCCCTGGCCTTTCTTGTTGTTCTAGCCCAACTAAGACTGCTTTCCCCTCGGGGAAGGACTTTGATCCCCCCCCCCCATCTGACTCCACCTTCCCTCAGCGCTCCACTTAACCTATTTCTTCCCCACGGCATCCCCTGGCTCATCCCAGCTTTTGCCCTCACTATCACCTGTGGCTCCATCTGATCATCCCTGCTCCTTCTTTAGCCCCTAATGTGGTCCCACTGCCACCTGCCCCCCCTCCCCCCGACCTCCTCCTACCCCTTAGCTCCGTCGTCAAACCCAGCCGTATACCTGGAAAGTTTCTGCAAGAGAGCCGAGTCAACCCTGGAGAGAGAATGAAAGGGCAGGGAGGTGGAGGCAGGGCGAGTGGAGGCCGGGAGGGCAGGGACTGAAACTGCGTGGACACCAAAATACAAAGTAAACCATGCAGTCAGCCATTCACGTGATCGAGAGCTCAGTCGGGGATCTGCAGCCCAAACACCACAGAGACCGGTTGTATTTTTCACTTTCCGTCCAATGTTTTGAAATTGAAACACAGCCTTGAGGATCAAAGACATTGTAAGAAAGAAAGAAAGAAAGAAAGAGAGAGAGAGAGAGAGAGAGAGAGAGAAAGGAAGGAAGGAAGGAAGGAAGGAAGGAAGGAAGGAAGGAAGGAAGGAAGGGACAAGGGAGATGTACTTTCTAAGTATGAAGGACAGTTCTAGAAGAAGTATTACTAGAGATGGTGAGAAATTAGAGAACAAAGGACGTGGGAGAGAGTGACTGGCAGATGGGGAGGCATGAAGGGATGGAGGAGGAGAGAAGAGGGACTGACTGGGTATTGACCTTGAACTATCTCATTGCACTTGATGGGCAAGACACTTATGGTAGGTGTATTTATTACATTCACTAGGTCTAGTGAAGTTACGTAATTTGCCCAAGTCACATTGGCAAGTTAATCTGAGGATCCTGGTGTTTCCCGTGGAAAACTCCTCTGAGTGGGAGGAGGGAGGGCAGGAGCTGGAGTTAGGCCGTGGTATCTTGCCATAGAGCCAAGGGTGCTGGCTCCCGGTGGAAATGTCATCAGCCCAGTCTAGAACCAGCACTCCTTCGTTCTGTCTGTCCTCACACAGCCTAAAGCCCTTCTAGAAGCAGGGGAATGGGGCAAGCAGTCAGCTTGGGGTTGCCCAGGAGAGCTGTGAAGAGAAAACAGGCAGATGCCAATAAGCAGGGAATCTGTTGCCCCCCAAGAACTCGAGACGAGGCCTTGGGCTGGAGCCAGGATGGGGACCAAGTATGGGGACAAAAGCAGGCCTGGGGATGAGGCTGGGAGGGGGACAGGGATTGGGCAGAGCCAGGGACTGGCTCATCTGAGAGCTCGTTGCAGACAGACATACCTTAGCCCTAAGCCTCTGCCTTCTCTGCTGAGATACATCAGACTCCACTTGCCTCTGCTCAGCCTCTACTTCTGCTTCCGATCACAGACAGCACAGGAAGGCAACTTAAGGACCTAACACTAGCTCTGGAATCAGACACATCTAGATCCACCCGGTAACTCCATTGGCCTTGGGCACGTCACTTAACCTTTCCGTAATATTGGAGTAATACATGCCTACCTTGGAGGGCTGCTGTGATAATTAACTGACACAGCTTAGGTAAAGTGCTTAGCAGGGTGCTCAGCAAATAGTAAAGTACTCAAGGTCCGCAAGCTCTGATATTGTCACTCTTCTCCCCAGGAACAGAGTTGCCCAGGCCTCCATCTGTGTGGTTTGAAGCAGAATTTTTCTCCCATATCCTCCATTGGACTCCCATCCCGAATCAGTCAGAAAGCACCTACTATGAAGTGGAGCTTCTGAAGTATGGAAAGGGGAGATGGAGAAGGGAGGGAGGTGGGTGCGGGAGGGGGTGGCCCCTTGTACCTTGCTGGCATGGGAAGGTAACATTGAAGTGACACCAGGAAGGACCCTGGCACATGTCCATCAGTTGACAAGGACTGATTGAGTTCCATGTGCACTGAGAGCTCTGGGATGACAAGGCCAAGGTGTTGCCTTTACCCTCAAGGTTTTTTCCATCTTGCTGGAAAAACAGGAAGTGCATCCATAATATGGTTGGAAACCAAGGAAACCTCAAAGGACTACAACTGTGGTTGGGAGAAAGGAGAAAGCAGGAGGGGGATGGAGGAGGGGGATGTCTGTGAGATATTCCGACCCAAGAGACACTGGTATGCGGTCCCAGAAGCAAGAGAGACCCTCTTGTGGTTAGATGCCCTGGACCAGAGAAAATGCCCTGAGGGCTGGACCATCATGTGAGCTCTCTCCCTGGGCCCCTTGCTTTCCTCTCAAAGGAGGTGGGTTTGAGCATAAATTCCCCTGCTGATGCCTATCCTGATCTCTCCCCAGGTATGGAATAGACTGCTGGAAGCCCATCCCCAACTGTAGCCAGACCCTGGTGCCGTCCTGTGACCTCACTTCCGTGACCTTGGACCTGTACCACGACAATAGCTACAAAGCCAGAGTCCGGGCAGTGGATGGAAACCAGTATTCCAACTGGACCAACACGAACACACGCTTCTCCACGGATGAAGGTGCTTTTCGAATTTCCCCTGGACCCAGACTACGGCTTTGGGGGTCCCTTCCTGCCAGAAACTCTAGTCTAGAACTTTACTCTGCTCCCATAGCTTGCCATACACCTGGGCTTCCTGGCCAGGGGGCCTCGTTGCCCAAACAACTAGTCAGGACTTTTGAGAAGATTTAGATGAAAACAGCCAAGTTGTTCAAGATTTCAAAGGGAACTGGAGTTGTTTATCCTATAGAAGAGAGAAGTCTTGGGGTGAGTTGAGCAGCTGAGTCACAAGGGCCAGACCTGTGTACTTGCAGCTTTCTAGAAGAGGAAGTGAATCCATAAGCTCTCAGAATAGGGCAGCAAACAGTAGGCAGAATTAGATTTAGTCCTCACCCGCTTTGGGCTGAATTCCCAGGGGTCAGGATGCGAGGCTGTGAGGCAGGGAGGTGCTACTTGATGAAGAGTTGGAGGTCTCTCTTTGTAGAGAGAAGAGAAAAGGGTAAGCCCCACACTTGATGGGATTCTTCCATGCCACAAATTGGACCAGACCATGTTCTATGTGTGTGGTGAGCCTACTCTCCAAAATTCGGAGTCAGAACCAATGGTCTTTGAGGGCACTGGCTGCCAAATGCCATCCTGCAGGCCAGTGTCCAACTGGCCACAGAAACATTACCTGGGCAGTGTGTTTAAGATAAATGTTTCCAGGGACCCAGCTTCAAAAATTCAGATTCACTGTGTCTTAAGTGGGCCTGGGGCATCTGTATTTTTAAGGTACCCCCCAGGAAGTCCTGATGTTCCACTGGGTTGGAAACCAGTGGCCCCAGGCTGTAGGGTGGGTAAAGCTGGACTCCGGAGGCCAAGCCCGGGTGGGACAGGCAGGCCCTCCCCAGCCCGCCGGCCTCATGATTTTGCCTCCCCACTCAGTGACTCTGATGGTTAGCAGCGTGAAGCTAGAGGTGAACAACGGCGTCATCCTCGGGTGGATCCAGCTCCCCAGGCCCAGGATGGCCCTTACCAGCGACACTTACGAAACCGTCTTCCAACACTTTCGAGAGTATGAGATTAAGCTGCGCAAGGTGCCAGGGAACTATACGGTACGGGCTTCCCTGGGACCACAGCAGATGGGCTCCCTGGGCCTCCCTGTCCCCCGGGCTGGCAGCACCTTTCATGCACCCCTGGAGGACTCTGCTGGCAGAGCAGAGGGGGGTCGTGGGGCGGGGAAGGGAGTTGAGAAGCCCTCAGTTAAGATGCACCTGCCGAGTGGCAGGGAAGGCACTGCCTGCTAGCGCCAGGCACCACGCGAGACGTTTGCTAAAACTATTAGTTTTGACCGCCTTGCAGGTGGCTATTTTACTCCCTCTTGTAAATGGGGGAATGAGGCTCCGAGAGGCTACGTGATTGCCCAGGGACACCCCCGTACGTGGGTGGTCAGGAATCTGCCAGGAAAGAGGATGCTCTTTCCACCATTTGATTCCAGCCCCTTCTAGGAAGGTCCTCCGTGTTCTATAAAATGTCCCTCTTGTCTTTTAGTACAAGATAGATCATGTTAATCACAGAGATCTTGAGCTGCATTAATGATATCGGGTTTGTTCTGCTAGAGAAAGGACAGTGAAGACCATGAGTCAGGGATATTTTGTTGATTACTATGTTATTTTTGTTTCAGTTCATACAGCAGAAGGTTTACCGTGAAAACTTCAGCCTCTCACCCCCTGGAGAACTGGGAGAGTTCTGTGTCAAGGTGAAGCCATCTGTGGGCTCCCGAACTAACAGGGCACTGTGGTCCAAGGAAGAGTGCGTCGTGCTCACCCGACAGTGTGAGTCTGCAGCTCGGCTGCTGTGTGGGTGGGGAGGGAGGCAGGAAGGGCCTCGCACAACCTAAAAAGCATCAGTTGAGGGCTGCCGACGCCATGGGCACTCCTCCCCACAGCCCTAGGAGAGAGATCCTATCGTCCCCATTTTAGAGATGCGGGAACTGAGGCTCTGTGGGCATAAACAGCTTTCTAGGACATGGTGGCAAAGCCGGGTCTCTTGATTCTGCTGGTGCTTCTGCTTGAGCCCAGCTGTGCTTCCCAAGAACCCACCCCCACCCTAGCCCACCTCTGCCAGCTGGGGTAGTTCCTGTTCGTTACATTCCTCAGCTATCCCTTCTTGGAGCTGGGCACAGGGCGCCTTCTCCTTACCCTGCCTCCTCCTCCGAGGACGTAGAACTGAGCTGCCCCCTGCCACAGCTGCTAAAGCCAGGCTCTCCCTGGTGCTGGGGAGGGGAGGGAGGGCTAGGGACACGGGATGTGAAGGCCACGGCCCTGTCCACAAGGATCTTACAGTCTGGCTGGGGAGAGAGGGCGTGCCCAGAGGAAGCCGTAACTTATAACTCAGGATAGCACATGTCAAATGTCCGACCAGTCATGCCAGTCCAGTGTGGACAAGGTCCAGCAAACACCAGAGTGACTCCCTCCATTTCTACAATACATTTCAATTAATGAACACACAAGTTCATTGTCATTTAGCCAGACCCTCATTTTAGCAGAGTCAGGCACCATCCCCGTGTCAGGCGTCCCTAAGAGCTTTTTCAACATCCACCCACTGGTACAAGAAATAGTTTCGTGTACAGCTCTGGCTTCAGATCTCAGTTTTCCCACTTATGAGGTCTGTGGGCTTGGGTCAATTAAACTTTCCGGGCCCCAGGATCCTAATCTATATAGAGGTGATAATAGTGTTTACCTCCTAAAGTTGTTATAAAGATCAGAAAACATAAGTAAAGGACCTAGTAGATGATCGGTGCTGTGTACTTCAGTCATCGTATGTGGGGAAACGGGGGCTCGGGGAGGCTGCATAATTCGTCCAAACCCGCACAGCCAGTAAGCGGTGGAGTGAGGACTTAAGCTCAGGTCTGGCTGCTCCCGGAGCCTCCATTGTCACCTGCGGCAGCCTCCTGCCCCTCCCCCGCCCGCCCCGTCCCACGTGCCGTAGTGTGGGTCGTGCGCAGAGCCGACGCCAAGTCAGCGTGTCTCGTGAGGGACTCCTTCAGGACAGAGGCTGTAGGCCAGGCAGGAATTCCCAAACATCCAGAAACATCTAGTTGTAGCCTAGAGGAAGCCTGGGGGGTCAGCTGGGCCACTCCAGTCCCACACTGCCAGGCCACAAACACATCTGTCTCCGCCTACAGATTTCACCGTGACCAACTTCAGCATCTTCTTCACCTTCGTACTGCTGCTCTGCGGAGCCCTGGCCTACTGCCTGGCCCTCCAGCTGTGCATGCGGCGCCAGAGGAAGCTGCCTGCCGTCCTGGTGAGTCTCAAGGGGAGGCCACTGTCCTGTCCTTCCTAGCCGTACCGGCCCTTCTAGCCATGCTGATCCTTGCTAGCCATACTCCAGGAGGCAGGGAGCTCCCCCCAGACAGGCCATTCCCTCGGCCCTGACATTATCAGGAGGCACCTTCATCACGGACCGTGGGGACAGAGGGAGGGCTTAAATGCAAAGCCCAGTGCTGAGAACATGATCTTCTGATGGCCCCCGTAAGACACATACGGAGTAGTCCTAACCCCCGACGTGTCATTTTGTTACTATTCACTAATAATTGGCTATGGATCAGCCCCTGTGCGTTAGTACCTCTGAGGCAGGTATGATCCTCATTTTATAAGGGAAGAAACTGAGGCATAGAGTGACTGTCGCAAGCACAGGGGTCACAGAGCCAGGAAGAGTCAGGACGGAGCCCAGTCGCCTCCCCCCGCCCCTGTCCCCCACTGGCTGGTGATGAGGAGTGATCTGGAAGAGGAAGACTCTGGCCTGGGAGCACCCCTGCCTAGTGCTGCTGCCCGAGTGGCAGGGAGCAGAGCAGATGGCAGTGCCGAGGGGGCCATGGCCAGGGTCTCGGACTAGCTACCCGGCGCCAGCAACTGCTGCTCTTCTGCTATAAGCCAGCGTCCACATCTCAGCCTGCAGCCCGGAGCAGCACTTCCACACCTCTGCCTGGGATTCAGGCTGCTCCTGGGTTTGTGGCCACACGCCCACGGCTTGCGGCCACACGCCCGCGGCTGCCATCCTTGTGATGGCCGTAGGCTATGCAGGGAAGGACCAGCCCCATCAGGGAGGCAGGGGCCCTAGGAAGGGCCACAGCTAGAAAGGACCCCCCCTCAAGGGATCCCAGGATTTCTAAGAAAAATAAAGAGAGAGACAGAGGTCCTCTGGAATTATTTTGAGTAAGAACTCCAGGAAGTGGGGAGGCAGGGAGAGAAGCGACTGCCTGCCCTGCTTACAGGCTTGCCCAGGAAGCAAAGGACTGTGTTCCTAGGTCCCATGCCCTGGGCAGAGTGGTTATGATGACACTGGGGACTGGCAGCCCCTACAACTTTAGGAGACTAAAAAGTTCTTCCTTGTGTCTAACTGAAGTATGTAACCCATTGTTCCTTCCCTGTGCTCTGGGGAGGTTCAGTTCTATAAACACGTATACACTGGCCTGTTTAACAAGTACTTGGAACATATTCTATATGCAGGGCCTGGAGCTGGGATGGGGGAGGTTTAGAGATGAGTGCCCCATGGGGGCTGCCCTTAGGGATGGATAACTGGAACGCTAAGGGGTGGGGGAGGGGGGGTCCTGGTAACTGGAGCAGGGGGTGGGGGGATCCTAGTTGGGCATCAGGACGAGCATCCAGGAAGAGATGAACAAACCGGCTATTGAGCTGCAGTTATTACACACCTATGACATGCAAAACGTTGTGCAGGATGACCCTGATTAATGTGGCCCCTGGTCCCAAGGGTCTTGATCACAGCCTGCTGGGGCAGCCACTACGTAATCGTTTAACTCTAATGGGACCCAGTGAAATCGACATAGATACAAAATGCCAAAGGAGAGAACAAGCAACCTCTGGGCTTTCGCTCCTCTGACATTTGGATCACAGAATTGAGCTCTCCTTGAGAATCTCTTCCTCCTCAAGATAAATGCAGCCAGTTCCCTTCATTGAATGATCCTGGCCATTATGAACTTTATCAATAATTTCTAGCGCACAGAGCACCTTCACACTCACTTGCTTATTGCCACTTGTTCGCTATTTTGATCTGATCTTTAGACAAATGGGGATTTCAGATCAGGCCAGCAGAGTACAAATTCCAGGTCTGTTGTTTGCTGCTGTGACTTTGTGCATGTCATTTCACTTCTCTGAGGTTCGATATTCTTCTCCTTAGAGAAGCACATCCTTAGAGATTGGAGCATAAAATTCAATTCACCAAATATGTACTAAGTGGTTTCTATGTACCAGGCACCGTTAGGAGCACTTTCTGTACATTAACTACAACCCGAGCAGGCTGGTACTGTCATTATGGCCATTTTACAGGCAAGACACTAAAGCACAGAGAGACCAAATCATTCAGCCAAGATGAAGCAGCTGATAAAGGCAGAGCTGGGATTTGGGCTGTGGAGTCTTGCTCTAGAAACCGATATGCTTAATCACAACCTATGTGGTATCAATAGGAACTCAACCAATAAGAGTTGCATTGGAGTCAAAACTTACAAAGGGAGTAAGGACAGATGTGCAACAGTGAGTCGATCAGTCAGTCAACAAACCTTACAAGTGCCTAATAGGTACCAGCTCAGTTGCAGCTTTGGGAACAGAGTGGCAAACAAACTAGGCAGGTCCTGCCCTCAGGGTACTTATATTCCACTGGGTGTGGGGAGTGTGTCGGTACAGTGGGTCGTGGTAGGGGGAAGAAAATAAACTAGGAAACAATTTCAGGAATGAAATGCTAGAAAGTAGTAAACTAGGTTAATGCTAGGGCACCTGGGTGGCTCTGTCAGTTAAGAGTCTGACTCTCGGTTTCAACTCAGGTCATGATCTCACATTTCAGGAGTTCGAACCCCGCATCGGGCTCCACGCTGACCGTGTGCAGCCTGCTTGAGATTCTCTCTCTCCCTCTCTCACTCTATCTCAAAATGAACAAATAAACTTTTAAAGAGAGTGTGTGGAGCACTGCTCTAGCCAGGATGACCAGGAAGGCCTCTCTGGGGAGTTAACATCGGAGCTGAGGCTGGGTAATAAGCAGGACACAGTCATAGAAAGTGCTGAGAGAAGAGTGTTCCGACCACAGAGCATAGCACGTGCAAAGGCCCTGAGAGCACTCAGCTGATGCATTCCAGGGCAGAAAGAACCCCTGTGTGGCTGAGACAGAGCAGCAAGGGGGAGAGGGATTAAGTGACTTTCCCAGGAACTCCGGGCAGTCAGTGGGGAGCAGCTCCTCCCCAGCCACTAGCTCTGTGCTTGTTCCGCTGCCACATGGGGCAGCCACCTGTGTGTATGCAAGTCATACTCAGTGTGGAGAAATTAATTCGGTGTCTCACATCCAACATTAGAAAAAACGAAGGGGACACCTGAGTGGCTCAGTCAGTTACGCGTCCGACTTCGGCTCAGGTCATGATCTCAGGGTTGGTGGGTTCGAAACCCGCGTCGGGCTCTGTGCTGACAGCTCAGAGCCTGGAGCCTGCTTCTGATTCTGTGTCTGCCTCTCTCTCTCTGCCCCTCCCATTCTCATGCTCTGTTTCTCTCTGTCTCAATAATAAATACACATTAAAAAAATAAAATGGACAAGCTAGGATAATGGATAGAACGGGATAGGAAAGATAGAACAGACTAAAAGAGGAATAGAATAGAATCGAGTAGTAGTGTGGGTCACAGTTCACGGGTAGTAATGATAAGTGTTCTTTTGTGAAACTGCCTTCAGTTATTTACACAGGAGTTACATACTTCTAGGCTGTTTGTTGTGGGTTATGATGTCACACATTTCTTATTTTGGGCCACAGTCAAAAAAGTCTGACACACCCTGCTACATCTATCTAGATGAGTCCGGCCTGCTCTCAGGTGTGGAAAGCAGTACTGACGGAGCTGAGAACATTCTCCGCTCCCCGCAGGCTCCCCTCCTGCCTGCCGTTCCATCCAGGCTGGAAGCACACAGGCCTGAGCCAAACTGAGAACTGCATTAAGAGGAAAGGTCGGTTCTTAAAGGACACAGGAAGCACACGGGCCCCTCGGTTAGGGCGGCACTGCCTTGAGCTTGCCTCCCAGCCCTGGGGCCACACCTGCAATGCTGGAGTGCCTTCCTGCAGGTAACCCTTCTTCTTCTCACTCCGCCCTCTCCCCTCCAGGTCTTCGAGAAGCCCCATCCCTTCAGCTTCGTCATCCAGCTTCCCCGCCCAGAGCCCCGGGACACCATCCATCCCCTGGACGAGGAGGCCTTCCCCAAAGTGTCCCCGGAGCTGAAGAACTCGGAGCTGCACGGCAGCACGGACAGCGGCTTCGGCAGTGCCAAGCCATCCCTGCAGAGCGAGGAGCCCCAGTTCCTCCTGCCTGCGCCGCACGCACCGGCGGGGGGCGCCGTGGGAAAGGGGGTGCCCCGGGAGCTGGCGAACCGCTGCGGCGGCGACAGCAGCAGCAGCACGGACAGCGGAATCTGCCTGCGGGAGCCCAGCCTGAGTCCCGGCACCAGACCCCACTGGGAGCAGCGGGCGAGGGGCAGCAGCCAGGGCCACGACGACAGTGGCATTGGTCTAGTCCAAAACTCCGAGGGGCAGCCTGAGGACGTGCAGGGTGTCTCGGCCTTGGGCCACGTCAACCCCTCAGGGCCTGAGGTGCCTGGGGAGGAAGACCCCGACTCCGTGGCATTCCGGGGCTACCTAAAGCAGACCAGATGCACACAGGAGAAACCAGCCAAGGCAGGCTGCCTGGAGGAGGAGCTCGCCTCGACAGAGAGCCTTGGCCCCAAGTTCAGGACGTGCCTGGATGCCGAGGCAGGCTGGCCTCCACCGGCCCTGGCCAAGGGCTATTTGAAACAGGACCCAGGAATGACTCATATTCCATCACGGACCCCAGCTGGACAGTGGAATCCGCCAACTGAGGAATGGTCCCTTCTGGGTTTGACCGGCTCCAGGGACCCAGGAGCATCTGACTGCAGCCTAGACCACGATCTTGCCACTCTGGACTGTATGGCGGCCCCAGGTGGTCTTCTGGGCAGCTTTGACTCACACCTGGTCACCTTGCCTCTTATCTCCAGCCTGCACTCAAACGAGTGACTCAGGCTAACGGGATGCTTTTTGATTTCAGCCAAGCCCTGCTTGGACCAGAAGGAGGGGCCCCAGGGGTCAGAAGTGACTCATGAGGCCAGTGTGAGCACCTTCCTGCAAGTTCAGGGGCTCCAGCCCCAGCCAGGCCTGGTAAGGCTGTCCGAAGTGCCCGAGGCAGAGAGAGGCTACCTTGCTGTTCCAGTGCAGGGTGTGTGGACGCCACTGCCTGTTCTGCAGACGGGTCCCCAAAGACTCTGGCAGGACCAGGAAGGGCAGAGCAGAGATCTCCTCCCTCCTTAGGGCACTTCCTGTACTGTAAAAGATCGTTTGCTCAGGGGAACCACAGGGTTTTCTGGAACTGCGGCGAGGCCAACAAGCTGAAGTCAGTTCAGACCCAGCCCTCCCTCTTAGGCTAGCCGTGTGCTGGGGCTTCCAGCAGGGTGCAGGGCTGGGAGGGTGGGAGCTTCAGGGCCCCCCTGCAGGGCCATTTCTAGGAGGAAGATGGAGGAAGCAGAGACCAAGTTCGATCTCTGGGATGGCCACACGGAGAATCTTCCCGACTGGCATCCTCCCGGGCAGGGAGCTTGTCATGCCACTAGACCAATCCCACACGATGAATCTACCCTGCTCAGCCAGCCAGTCCACCAACCACCATCATGGAGCCCACAGCGGGTGAACCCCCTGTGACCAAGCCACTCACGACCCCACCCCATCGCCCCCCCCACCATCTTGCTGACAGTACTGGAGAAGCCATGGTTATTTGTACTGGTCAAAACTCAGCCCTTCAGGGTGTCTGTGGACTTGGGCACCAGCTCACCTGCCCCAGAGGGTCCCGGGCGGGACCTGCGCTTGCATTTACTGTTGTCATCTAGCCACAGACCCACGGGACACGGCACCGCCCTCTCAGGGATCCCCCGTGCGAGCTTGGGGCAGCCACAGGTGGAATAAGGATGCCATCTCCAGGGGGCCCTCCATGCTGGCCCCGGGGGTGATGTCTCCCGCCCAGTGTGAGCCCGGGCTGGGAAGAAGGGGACTGTAGAACCCACATCTGCACAGACACAGCCTCCTTCTCATGCCGAGGACTGACAGACTTAGCACAGGTCCATGGTGTCATGCTCAGAGGACTACCAGACCCTGGGCCCAGAAAGGGGGCGGGTGTGGGCCCTGCTCCCCCATACTCACTGTTAAGATTCTGTCTTCAAAGCCAGTTTACAGTCCATGGGCTCCTAAGCTGGGAGGTGTGACAGGCTTGACAGATGCCCCGAGAGTCCCTGCTTGGCCCTGCACTTTTCTGTGGCGGTCAGAGAAGACATGCCAGCTCAGGGGATCCAGCCAGAACCGCCCCTTGCCCCCCCCCCCCATAGTCTACCAAGAGGTTCTCAGGTGTCTCATAACTCCGCCTGGACACTTGAGGTTTGCGGAGTTCCTCAGGGTTCCCTTGGAAGGTTTATTTATTTATCCTGTTACCTTATTTATTGAAGAGACAGCACAATACCGTGAAAGAATTCGGAGTATTCAAGAACTTGGTTCTGACCCGACCCCCACTCCTGGGTTCTAGTTCTGACCCCACTGTTTGTAGCATTTCCTCATCTGTAAACCGAAGAGCATCGGTTTATGCCTGATGCGTTCCGTTCACAGGGATGTGAGTTTCCACCGAGGGGGCGGGTCTGAAAGGGTCTTGAAAGAAAAGCTCTGTAAATCAGGGGTGTAGGTTTTTTATTTGAATAAATGGTCAGGACCACAGGAATCTTGTGAAACCAGTCAAATTTCTGATGACGCGGTGGCTGGGGGGAGACTCAAATTGCTGATCGTTGAAGTTGATAAGGAAAACAATGTGTGATGTCGCTTTAGCAGAAATGAAGACTTAGGCTCAAACCAGACACAGGTCTGAGCCCGCATAAGAACATGATGTAACAGGTATGTAATGTAATGAAGGAGATTGTGACGCTGTATGTAAATGAGAGAGATGTTCTTTTGGAAGGCTGAAAAGGAAATGTAGAAGACAATGGGGTTTTTGCTTTTTTTGAGAGCGCGTGAGCGGGGGAGGGGCAGAGAGAGAGGTCAAAGGATCCGAAGCGGACTCTGCGATGACAGCAGAGAACCCAACTTGAACTCACGAACCACGAGATCATGACCTGAGCTGAAGTCGGATGCTCAACTGACTGAGCCACCCCGGCGCCCCAAGACAATGTTCTGAGTGTGGATCCTGACCACCTGGAAAAGAGAGCAGACCTTCCTGGAGCCCCACCACCTGCTCCCCCCGGGCCTGGAGGTGCATCCCACGGGTGCTTCTCATAAGTGCGGAAGCCATCTGCATTTGATTCTGAAAGCAGTCTGCTCTTTCCACGAAAAGCCACACGTGGGTTTGAATCTCTCCCCACGCTCAGCCCAGCAGATAGAGCAAACTTGGGGTCCACGGCCAGGGTCTCTGGTGCACTTTGCCCTTTGTCCCAGCCCAGATCCTCGAGGAGGTGAATGGGAACACCTCTTCGCCGTTTCTCTGGGTCACCTCTCCTGTGATGCTTCTCCCCATTTCGCTCAGAAAATCAGCGGTTCTGGGGAAGCGCTGATCGTACCATCTTCAGAGAACTTGACTAATACTATGCCATTTGGGACCTGCCCAGACTTCTGCCCCAGAGGCTTCCCTGTCCTATTCTTGTGAAGTGTGGCTTCGGCCACTTTCTCCTGGATACGAGTGTTGGAGATGACCTCTGGCCTCAGGGAAAGACCCCTGAGGCAGGCTGCGTAAAGAAGGGCAGAGGGGTGAGTACAAAGACTGAGAGAGTAAAAGGAATCAGCAACTGGTGCTGGATGCGCTGGGAGAGACCAAATGCAGAGCAGCTTGCAGAACAGAGTCCCAGGATGTGGGCTCTGCTACACGCCTCACCTGCTTCCCTTGTGACGCACGAGTGGGAGTTTGTGCTGGGTCCCCTCTGCCTTGAAGCCCCTCTCTGTCTGCCCGGCACAGACAGCCAGGGCTCGTGGGGGAAACGGCGTTCTACCCACAGTTGGTGCTGAGATGCTCACAGGCTTCTCGGGAATTTCGACTCAAGTCCCCAAGAGAAGGCCCTCTTTGTTCTTAAACTGAGTAATCTCCCTCAGGGCTTTTCCAGGCTGAGGAATGTGTGATTCTGCATTTCTGTGAGCTAACGGAACTTCCTCTTACCCAGGAGATGGGGGAAATGGACCCACGTTGACCAAACAGGAAATTCTATTGAACTCTTTTCCCAACTTTCTAAATAGCTGTATCAAAGAATCTGCCTTGTCTTCCCCGAAGATCTCTACCCCTCCCCCACCCCACCTGCAAGGCACGCACCATCAAAGAATACACATGGCGGGTCATGAGGGTGGTCATGGCCCCAGAGCCCACACTGTCCCACTAGGTGGAAGCTCTCGGAAACCCACATGGGAACGGCGGGGAGAGGGGTGCCATGGGCCGTGCCCGCCTGGGACAGCGCACTGGCGACCAAGGGTGGGGGGAGGGGTCCAGGCAGCTAGAGCAGATTTTCTGAAGCCCCAGCCTAGAGGACACTAGGTAGTTGGAGGCATGACTCATCCATTTCCTGTAGTGCTTTTGCGTTTCAGGGTTACTTTTAAAGCAAATCCACAATTTAAAATTAAATGCATGTTTATTAAAGATTACCAGCACGTTTCCTCACTATCAGCTTCATCTTACGTTTGCCCGGCTCCCATAAATATTCGACAAGGGTGCGGAGGGCCTCAATAAACACTCTATCAAGGAAGGGTTGGGTCAGTGTTTCCAAAAAAACAATCCTGGCCAAAGAGTAAGGCATGAGTCAGAAGGGACAAGGCAGGATGCACGGAGGCCTGGTTGGAGGCACTTGTAGTCAAGCATTTCATTTCTTCAAGAAGCATTTTTAAGCACCTACTATGTGCCAGGCATGGTGCTCAGCCCTGGGTCCACAGGGAGCGAAAGAGGCCTAGCTTCATGGAGGAAGCCATCTGGGAGATGGACATTTAGCTAACAGACTAACAAATACATCATTACAATCAGCCACAGGCGCCCTGAAAGGAACAAAGATGGAAAAAGAAGACACGGAGGCAAGAGGAAGAGAAAAGGAAGAGGAGACTTAGTTTTGCTCAGGCTGCCACGGGGCAGGGGGGAGGGCTTCATAAGAGACCTTTCTCAGAGTTCTGGAGGCTGTACGTTCAAGATCAAGGTGCCAGCCAATTTGGTTCTTGGTGAGGACTCTCTTCCAGGTTTGTGGATGACCCTCTTCTTTGTCCTCAATGAAGAAAGAGGGAGGAAGAAGGGAGGGGAGGGGAGGGGGCGGGGAGGGGGGGGAGAGACAGAGAGAGAGAGAGAGCTCCAGTTAGGTCTCTGGTCTTTCTTCCTCTGCTTGTAAGGACACTTATCCCATCACAGGGACCTCACCCTCACGACTACATCTAACCCTAATAGCCTCCCAAAGGCCCTAGCTCCTAATACCATCCCATTAGGAGTTAGGGCTTCAACATATGAATTTGAAAGGGACACGTTCAGTCCGCAACAGGCTTCAACACAATCCAATCCAGTGACAATACTGAGCAGTGACAGTAGGAATGGAGAGCAGGGGACTGATGGAAAAGGCATTCTGCAGAAAGAACTGGCAAGACTCAGTGGCAGGCTGCAGTGAAAGAGGCACTGATCCCAATCAATAGTGGACGAGAAAAGCGAAATACGCACACGAGAAGGTGACGTGGCATGGGGGTGGGGGAGTGAGTTCTGGCACCCTAGGACAAGTCACCCAAGGAAAAAGTCCTCCAGCAGCAGACGAGCACAGCCTGGCAGTAGGTGAGGGCTCAGAGCTGGGGATTCAGATGTGAAGGCCTTTGGGCTCACGCTGCCCCACTGGATGAGAGAGCCCACAGCTGGGTGTGGAGCTGAGGACACAGATAAGGCGATGGCCACACACACCCCCGCTGTCAACCTGCAGCTGAAATACTCACCTACTGACACATCTCCCCTCCCCACTGCCCCCCACCCCCCCGGAGGAAAGGCAGGCTACCATCCCTTTGCTCTTAGAGTGACAGGAGCCATGCCCGGTGGGCTCGGCACCCACCTAGTAGTGGCTCATTAGCGCCCTGTCGTTCCTTAGACAAAGGTACAGCTGAGGGTTTTTAGTAAGTCAGCTCATCTGTAGAGCTGGTAAGCTCTGGAGCGGGCGTGGGGAGGGGCGCCGGGAGCACACTGGTACATGACTGGCAAAGCCTGGGTAGGGGATGCCACACCCATACACCTCTACCTACACAGAGAAGGAAGGGTTGGTGGAGGTCAAGGCCTCGTGATGGCTCTGGAGAGAAGAGAAGCATTCTTCAGGATCCTGGCCACTGTGATCCTGGCCGTATTCCTTGGCCTCCGCTGCCCGACACTCCCATCTGCCCATACCCAAAGTATCACCCGCATCAGAATCACCCAAGGCTTCTCTTCCTAAACTTCTCCCCAAGGCCCAGGATTTCTAAACGCGATGTCCCAGGGTCCGACTTAGTAAACAGGTTACAGGCGATCAAGGTGCATGCACACGAAAATGTGAAGGCCACTCCTTTAAAGAATCTGATGACTGGATGTCTGTTCTGTTAAACTCTACCCTTCTCCCCACTGCCCCAGATGGTGTCACCCATGTCCCCATGCCTTTAAATGCCATCTGGAGGCTGGTGACTTCCAAATGTCCAGCAGGGCTTCTCTCCTGGGGCCCCCCTCTGCAGCAGCTCCACGTGAATGTCTAGCTTGCACCTCAACACTGTAATGTCTACAAAACAAGGCCTGATTCCACCCCCCCCCCCACTCAATCCTTCCCATCTTCCCCTCCTGAGTAATGACGCCATCGTGCACCCAGTTGTTCAGGACGAAAACCAGGAGGCATTCCTTCACATTCCACATCTAAGCCATCAGGTAGGTCCGATCGGCCCTACCTTTCCAAATCTATGGTCAGTCTAATCACTCATCCCCACCCCCACACGCCCATCATCCTGGTCAAATCCATTACCATGTCTCACCGGGACCACGGTTCATCCCTTTCCTGTCCCTCTGCTTCCACGCCTGCGGCCTTGGCCTACGACGGCGTGACTCCCAGCACATGCGCAGTCTAGCACAGCAGACAGCACGATCTTTATAAAATACAACTTCCCTGTTGAAAGCCCTCTCCTTTGATCTTGGGCCAAAAGAGAGGCAAAGTCCAAATGAGCTGGTATCTGCCACCTCCCCAACACCACCCCCGCACACTCTCCCCTGCCCACCCTGCTTCGATCTCATCTCCATCTCACGTCATTTATTCAAGCGCCTCCTCAAACACAGCCTCCTCGGGGAGGTCTTTGCTGCCCCCACATCCAAGTTTCCTCCCCATCTCACTCCCATCCCTCCCTACCCCTAGTTTTATTCCCTCCAGAGGACTTAAAACCTGAAATTATATGACCTATTTATGTGTTTATTTGCTCATAGCCCAAGAAAGCAGAAGATCTGTGAAGACAGAAACCTCTCTTTTGCGCACTCCCACAGTCCCACAGCTAAGAGCACACAGCAGACGTCCATATTTGCAGATTGAACAAGCACCTAAATAAATGAAGAAGGACAAACTTAAAATATAAGGTAGTGACTGTGATCTTAGCCTCGCCTGTCCCTCCAGAAGCAGAGCCTCGACAAGGCCTGTGGGCAGGTGGTTTATTTGGAAGGTGATCACAGAGAACAAGAGAGTGAGGAACCAGGAGAAGAAAAAGCCCTAACAAGGAAATGCTGTGAAGCCGGCCGCGCTGGGAGCACCTGGGCCTTGATCCCACTGGAACGTTCCTTACAGAGCGTAGAAGCCTCTTCCACTTGTCCCCGAGCACTGACAGGAGAAGCGCTGAGCTCCTGCACTGGGCGAGGCTTCCCCCAGAGGTGCTCCACCTTCAAGCTGCTGGTGTGTGGGGCTGTCTGGGCTCCCCGAGAATGTGAGGAGCCAGGGCAAGTGATGTGAGGCAGACGCTGGAGACGAGATGTGGGGGCCCATTCTCAGCTGGAAGCAGAGGCGGAGCGCAGAGGCCCCTGTCACCGGCGCCGTGATGGAGATGTTCGCGGGGGTCCTAGAGGGCGTCTGGCCCAGCTGGGGTGTTCAACGCATATTGTTTGGGCTGGATTAAAAAGGGTAAACTGAGATTTATTAAATTATGCAAAGTGAGGTTGGGAAACTCTCTCAAGACGAGAGATTTTAAGATCGGAGCCCACGCTTCAAACCTGGGGCCAAGAGATGACACATGTCGTCTAACTGGCACTGAGGGCAAGGGGCGCTGGAGTGGAGGAAACAGGACCCTCACAGCGGGGGGGGGGATGGGGGTGTCTACAAGTCACTCAAACTGACAGACAGGCCCACGGCCAGCCCTCCGTGGAACGCTGTCGGCCTGGAGATGCTCCACGGACACAGAGGAATGGGCCACAGATCCAGAGAGTGGAAAGAACGCTGTGCTAGCCCGGACTCAGGAGACCTGGGCTCTCGGCTCACCCAGCTCAGTCATGTCACATCGACGTGGGGCCTCAGTCTGCCTGGCCAAACGCAGAGAGTATGCTTCAACCTGACTTCTCTCTTTCATGCCCCGGGTATACTGCTGTCACCAAATGTCCCACCACACTTAGTACTCATTTCACGATGAGCTCTAGAGGGCAGAAATGTCTCCGTATCCTTCACACCCAACCGACGCCTAACGCACAGTGTAGGCGTTCGGTAAATTTGATGAATAACGAATCATTGCATGCACAAACGGATTTCCTCACAAGGAAAAGCATATGAAAGAAGATGAAGATGGCGGATGTCCAAACACAACATGGCCATGCTGGTAACGGTGGCCTAAAGCTAGATGGTTCCTGGGGACACATTAGACTGAGCCCAAGAGAAAGCAGGCGATACATAAATGGGATTTAAATTTTATTTTCGGGCCTGTTGTCTCCTTAGCTTAGTCATGTTCTACCACGATTATTCCCTTCCCTGTGATTTTCACCCTATAGCTCTTAGGTATTGTAGGGACCCAGGGCTACAGACCAAACAGGAAGCCCAGAGCAAGGGGATGTGGTCAGGAGGCAAGGCAAAGGACCGTGAAAATATTCAGCACGCAGTCATTCACTCCTTCAGCTAACATTCATTGAGCACCTGCCGTGGGCAGGCCCTCTGGGAATATAGTGGGCAATAATATAGATCCCTCTCCTCCTCGGGTCAGTCATCTCTGCAGCGTATACGCACGCGCACAGGTGTCTCCACCTACTCCTCCCTTCCCCCAGCGCTGTGGAACTGAAGTCACCCACGCTCTGCAACAGCCTCACAGCTGGAAGGGACCTCACTGTCCTCAGATCCGATGGCACCTGGGGCCCACCAGCTACTGGGGCTTCAGTGAAACTGGAGGCTTCTTACATTTTCCACCCATCGGCCTCCCAAAGGCTCCCTGCTTATGTATGAAACACCTTATCCCAGGCTTTGGGGAGCGGGGAGACAACCCCCCATGGCCCTGCAGGTAAAAAGCCGGGAGACGGGGGAGCCCACCAAGGCCTTGACCTCCAGCACTGCCCACCTGTTGTTTTGCTGGCCCGTTTGCTACTCTGGGCAGACAGAACATTTTCACTTCTGGTCTCCAAATGTGAGAATTCACCAGGCCACTGGCTTCCTGTTTTGTACCAGATCTGCTTAAATATCACTGCTTCTAGACAGCTTTTGATCACTAAGCAGTTTTTTAAATATGGTAATGATACTCCCGTGGGCTCCCACTTGGAGGGTTTGGTCCCCTGGGGCAGAGGAGGGCACCACAGATACCAGTCTTGCAAGGCCACCGGCACGAACCAAGATCGGTAGGTTTGAAAGAGAACCTCGTAGGGAGCTGAGACCCCTCCTCGCCTGCCCAGCCTCTTCCTGGGTTCAGCCATTCCTTAAGGTCGCCCTTCAACAGACTAAGTCACCGTCCGTGTGCACTCTGGGGCCAGACCGGGGTCTGACGAGGACCACCGGGTTGCACGCGACTGAGGATGGGCAAAGAAAATCAAAAGGCTTGGTTTTCAGAGCACCCCCAGACTGGACGGGAATCAAACAAAGCCCGAGCTTCCCCGTAAAGACAGGGATATTCTACATAATTTCCTGAGACACTCCTGGCTATGGCCAGAGCCATACAACTACCGCAGAAAATTCAGAAAAGGTAGAAGACCTGAATTTTGCCTGCAGAAAAGTACCCATCAAACAGGAGAGGAGCTCAGTTCGTCTTAAGAGGGACTGGGATGCCCGCCACGGTGCCTACCACAGTTCGCGCCTATTAATGGGAGTTGTGTGAATGAATGGAGGGAATAATCAATAATTCAGTTATGGAGGCCAGAGAGTATGTGTAATTAAATGTGAGAAGACAACAGGATCCACCTGTCTCGGCGTCCCCCTGGGGAAATGGAAATTGAGTTGGCATAAAGAAGGGGCAAAATTTGATGATTTGGAGGCCAAAGGGGTTTAAGAAAAAGGAAAAGACTAAGGAATGGGTCAATGAGAAGCTCAGAGCTGAGGACAGGGCCCTTCTCACCACCCCAGGGGACCTGGGAGAGAGATCAGAAGCCAGTGGGAGGGGCTTCTTGGGGACCAGGGACTCGGGGAAGCCGCCAGCTTGGACAGAGGCTCAAAGTGGCTGACAAAGGATCATAAAGAAAACACCTTCTTGCCTGGCCTCAAGCAAATCATTTCACCAGACCTCGATCCTCTGTTCCCTCCCCTGTGAGGACAAAGGGAGACCCTGCATTCGGAGCCCCTGCTCTGCTCTCACAGGTTTGCTGGTAAAGAAGTTTGGGCTGGGAATGGTCCAGTCTTAGATGCCGGTCAGAGTTACCCAAAGTCAATGAGAGGCTGAGCAATATTTTGGATCCTAGACCATCAGAGTCTCAAAGACGCCCAGGGGTCACCTTTTACCTCCCACCTCCTGAGTTAGAAAATCAGAACTATATACTTCGTATTCGCATCTTTTGTTTATTGACCACCTACTATGTGACAGGTCCTATGCTCGACACAGAATACAGAGAGATGATAAAAACAACAACGAAAACAGAGATCCTTTTTCTCCTTCGGGTAAAAGAGCAGAGCCTTGGAGAAGTAGCCCGATCCCTCGATTTCCAGATGCCGAGACGCATATCCACCGTGAAGTGACTAGCCCGTGGCCACACAGCATGGCAGCGCGGGCCAAGACCAGACCCTATTCCACACTGTTCCTTCCTCAGCCAGCTAAGCCTGTAGGTCAGCCTTTTGGTGAGGCCTCCAACTCTACTCAGGCTCCAGTACAGTAGCAGCTGAGCAGCCTTAGGCAAAGCAAGCTACCCCTCTGGAGCCTCAGTCTCCCCAGAGGCAATGTGCAGCCAGTACCAGATTCCCCACGTCACGAGGCTGCCACCAGGTTTAAGTCGCCGCGATGTGCATGAAGATAATGTGTCCTCTGCAGGCTGTGCTGCGCAAGCAGTTCCTGTTCCTCCTCCGGTCACCACGCATCCCTCTCCAGGACCGGGCAGCCCTCCGTAGCCACACTGGGGGGTTTCTACTCTACTCAGAAGCCATTTCTTGAGCACTTCCTATATGGCCTACTTCTGGCAGTTACTAAAGACCTAGGGGACAGGACCCTGCCCACAAAGCCCCCCCCACACACACCCCAGTTGGGGAACAGCACGAATGGAAGAAACATGGCCACCTGGCCCATCAGGCTCTAACGGGGGGCGGTGAGCCAGGACCCCTGAGGGCAGCCATGGGGAAGCGGACACGTGAGATGACCATGGAGACTAGTTGTGGTGAGGAGGGGGTGGCAGGGAGGGAGGAGGCATTCCCAGAAGCCCTGGCAAAGGCACTAAAGAGGAACAGGGTGACAGAGGGACTGAGAACGGCCAGTCCATAGAGCTGCTCGCCCTCCTGCCTGCCTCCTGGCTCTTGGGGCCAGCGGAAAGGATAGTTAAGAGGAGAGCGAGGTTCTGAGGGGTCTGAGTCCCCAGCCCAAGCAGACCAGCAGCCAGGTTTCCAGGCCTCTGCTCCCTAATCATTTCCGAACAAGCTGGAAGCCACCACTTCAGGACCCTCAACAAAAACCTGTTGAATCCTTGAGTGAGGCCTGGGGTAAAGGGTAAAGCCGTGTTAGCCCGGAGGACTGCGGAAGTCAGGAAAACACGAAGGAGGCAGAGGGGACAGGGAGCACGTCAGAGGACCCTAAAAGAGGAAGTAGCCCAGTCTCAGTTCCGCTCCCAAGTACGGGAAATACCCTCCGTTCTCCCAGCCCTCAGCAGCTGCTCCTGCCTCCTTACCTGAAGCCACCAAACCTACAGCAGCTCCACCTGGGCCCTGGGCCCCATCCTTTCATGCTTCCCCAAAGTTACTGAGGTTGCTGAGCCCTGAGCACATTCAGGGACCTGGGGCGGTCCTGTATTGGCTGCAGCCCCAGGATCCAGGCTGAGCAGGGCACAGTCAAGAGGATTTTTTTGAGGCTGGACGCCCCATGGGTTCAAGAATGGGGTCCAGCCTCGGGACTGAAATCCAAGAAGGAGGTCAAAGTCGGCCCATCCAAGCCTCCTCGCTGCTCTCCCAATAAAGCCTTCAAGGGAGGGAGGGATCCAAAGCCCATGGAGGCTCTTACCCTGCTCTCACCAACTCCGATAGAAGGGTTGTGGCCCAGATGAAGACCTCCAAATCAGGAGACCTGGTTTATTAAGTCAGAACTTGGCTACACTGGGAGAAATGGCCCCCAGATCCTGGCACGGAGGGAGGGAGCAGGGGCTGGTAATGACCCTCTCCTTCCTTCCTTCCTCTCTCCCTCCACAATGGGCTAGAACCCAAAGCAAGAAAGAAACCATGCCCTGAGGAAGCAAGGTCCAGAGGACAAATAACATGACTTCTTCCCTCCTCGCCTATCACTGTCCTGGGCTCCCGCAGCCTATCGACCTTGGTCCTGGGACATCAGAGGGTCATTCCCACTCAGGTTTCAGCCTTGGCAGTGACTCTCTCAGGCTCTGCTCTGTCCACAGCTGCCCCAGGAGCTCAGTCTCTCTGGACTGAACGACGCTGCATCAAGGGCCTAGGAAGAAGACAGCCCAGGGCGGGCTCCACCTCAGGTCAAGTAGGACACAGACCAGAGCAAAGAGTAATGACTCCCAAGGCAAACAGTCCTGCCGTCCACCAGCTACACCTGGTTTGTGATTTCCCTTGTGCATTAGCTGGGTTGTGTTGGTTTTGGGTTTTTGGGTTTTTGTTGTTGTTTTTTTTTTAAGCCTAGCCTGGTTTCCTCCCCAACTCCTACCATTTCTGGTCTGCCCTCCCCATCACAGGGCAAGCCTTGCACAGGAAATGCAGAACATAGGGAGACAGAGCTCTCCACCCCCAACGTTCACCCACCCATTGCAGGAGCCTAGAAAACCAAAAAAGACCATGTTTCTAGACTATTTTCAGTAGTGGGCTCCAAATTATTTGGGAGGCACGGCGGCTGGTCAGCAACAGGGAAGAGAGACCCCGGTGGTAGACAGGGGCGTGGGAGGGTTGAAAAGCACCAGAACCAAGCCCAGAGGGGGACAGGGCGGGGCAAAGGCCAAGCTCCTCCCTCAGCTCTTAGGGGAAGTCGGTTTCTGGTAGGAAGGTTAAAAACAGTATCTGGAATCACCTCCACTCCCACATGACTTTGCCTATTGAAGATATGACTGGTTTTCCGGCCTCTGGAGTCAGCCCTTCAAGGGGAAGTGACTGGGGACGCCCCACGGAGAACTCCCCTCATGCTGGGCTGAGGCGGGAGGGCTGTGCTCACCAGAGTACCTGGAACCCCTCCACAGGCTCAGGGGCCCCCTAAGAAGGGAGTCTTTACTCCTAGGCAATGCCTGCCATTTTGGTTTGCATGAGAAAGCCACAGCTATTCTAACAAGACTGTCTCCAGAGCCCAGACCCCTCCTGTGAGTTCTCCAACTGCAGACCCATAGTCATTGTACACAATAAGGGACCGGGCCAGGCCTTGAAGACCCAGGAGGGTGAAGGGAGCCCGGGGACCCTGGGAGGGGCAGGTGCCAAGCCAGGAGCCTCCTCCTGCAGAAAAAGCAAAGGGAAAGCAACAGAGAGATGAGGCTTAGAAAGGATTCCTCCAAACCACTGCACCTGCTGAGGCTTCTCCCAGGTGGGAAGAGGAGCTAAGAGAGAAAGGGTGGGGGTGAGGGGGGTCCATGAGGAACTGCTGGAGGGAGAAGGTGGATGAGAAAAAGCAACCGCGATGTGGAGGGGGATGGGCTTGAAGGCAGGGGGAGAGAAGATGTGACCCAAGGGCCAGCCAGCTACAAAGCAGGGACGGCTCCTAGGCTTTCAGTTCAGAACGGACACTCTGGAGAGAGGATTCTTGGAAGGAGGGACCATCTAGAACCTTCGACTCAGAGCAAAGGGTTGAGATAGAAAGCTCGACTCTAGAAGCTTCCACCTATTAGAAATAGAACCTCCCCAGGAAGGAAAGGCAGGACATGGTTGAATGCACAGGTGGAAAGAGCCGTCTGGTGTTGGCAGGTGGCGGGGACAGCATGACGCTGGGCCTTGGTTCCTGAGATCACCTCCCTCAGAGCCACCCCTAGAAGTGGGGAGGGATGAACGGAATCACCGCTTGGGTTCCGCACAGTCCTTGGCGCTATAGGCTTGGGTACCTGGACCATCTGCAGACCTTACTAGGACATGAGGTTCACTCAGGAGCTCACCAACCTTCCACTCACCTCTCCAGGGCTCCAGAGGCTGCCACTCCTCCATCAGGCTAGCCTGTCGGAGAACTTCATGTAGCCTCCATCTGAACTGCTGACGTGGCCACTGATGGTGAAGGGTGGACCCACCTCCAGCTCCTTCAGGTTCCTGAGAAAGATGATCCGATCGGGTTTTTGGGGAGCTGGGAAACTGGGTTCTCCTTGGGAGCGCAACTCCCTACACCAGCGCATGGGAAGAACTTCCTGGCAGTGACTCCCTGACTGATGTACCTTCCAGAACAGGAGGTGGCCCATTTCTCGGGGGCCAGAGGAGGAGGGGAAGGCCTGCCCTGCGGCAGAGAGTGAACAGGACGGCTTAGCACGGGAGGACCTTCTGACCCCCACGCCCTAAATCCCTGGTGGGCTTCATTTCCTCCTTTCCTTTGATGCCACACTGTGCCTGAAGTTATCTTATTTGTAGTCAGGCCTGTGTCCACCACCGACAGTGAAACACTTGAAGACAGAGACTGCTCACTGTAAGCCTAGAAGCTGATAACACAGCACCCGGGACAGTAGATTCTTCCTGAATAAATGAGTGAATGAATAGAAACGGATGGTTGGTCCCTCCCTGGGGGTAAATGTTAAGAGGATCGCCATTAGCATGGTCTTACATAATCCTGTCCAAGTTCAAGTTTTCATTCTAAACTTGAACTTCCTAAACAGACCCTGGCTCCTTCCTTTTCTCTTGTTTGCTTAGGGGGATGGGGAAGGGACAAGGAAGAGAAACTCTAAGTGCTGGCGCCATACCTAACCCCACCCCTGCCTTGGGTCTACTTGCCGTATCTGGTACAAGTTGAAGACAAAATTAGGCCCTAGGAAGACAATCAGAAAAGAGAAAGTTAGTACCTCTGGGGAGACCTACCTGCCCATCAGCTGAGAACATCTGGGGCTCCCTCACCCTATCTGGGAGGAGTAAGGAGGCTGGGCTGGGCCTCAGGATGCTGTGGGAGGGCCCTACGCCAGTCGGTTACCCCATCTTTCCAGACAGAACCACCAGTTTTGGGGGGCAGAACCTGCCACTAGGCATCGGCTCCCCCCCATTATGTGTACTGATGAGCCTGGGACAGAGGGAGTCCTAGCTTAGAGTCCCAAAGCAGCAGACCAGGCTTGAACCTGGCCCACATCTGTCTCCAACCCGGTGACTTCAGCCTTCCAGCTTCACCTACAAGAAACAGAGACTAAGAATTCCATCCTTACATGGAATTTTAAAGAAAGCCCTATTAGGCGAAGGCACACTGACACATGGTAGGTGCACAGCAAACATTCACGGTCGCTGTGGGCGTCCACTGCAGACCCCAGAAGTGCTCTCTGCCTCTGGGGATTCCGGGGTGCCCTGCCAACTCTCCCCGGGCCTCTGGGAAGCGCAGATGGGGGCTCAGAGCTGGGAGTCCCGCAGCAAATTCCAAAAGACTCCCAGGGAAGCTGAGGCAAGCGTGGGAGGGGAACCCAAGACCCACGGGCAGCCTGAGCGGGGGACACCTGTCCAGCCCGCTGCCCTTGGCCTCGGGCCCCACACGGGCCTCGGGGATGGACTCCCGTGGGCTCGGAGGGAAGAGAAAGGCAGCTGCCCGCTGGGTAGGAGGAGCCCTCACTCCCTCAATAAAGGCTCAGCACCCCCACACACACCCCCCCCAAGGGCTCAGCCACCCCCACTCAAGTCTTCAACCACTGCAGCCACCACAGGAAATATTTTTGCATGATGCCATGCTGAGGGGTTTGCAGCCCCACCCGAACTTGCCAACTGCGGCAGAGAGGAGGGGCTGGGATGGGAGGGGCTGGCGCTCACTCACCCTCCCAGCAGTACCCACGCTGGTACCACTTGGCCAGGCTGTAGCCCAGGATGGACACGAGCAGCAGTGAGAGCCCCACGCCGAGGATCAGGCCCAGGGTGCTGATGGAGTCCTCACCTGCAGAGAGAGAGAGAGAGGGAGAGAGAGAGAGAGAGAGGGAGACACACACACACACACACACACACACACACACACACACACGCACGGTCGGCTGCCAGAGCCCTCTTGCGGCCCCCACCCCATGTTCCAAGTCTCCTCCCCTCCCTCCTCCCGAGCCCCTCGGAATCTTGACCTGAGCTGGCTAGATGAGCCAAGTTCATACTAAGATGGGACTGTCTGATACTGGGGTTTTGAGAGTTAGCCTGTTTAGCCAAAGCAACAGTCCTGGACAACAGACAGAGTATGGAGCTGGGAGGGCCTCCGGAAGCCACAGGCATCCTGCTGGCTGGAAAAGGCACTGCTGTTTGCGGGGAGAGCCCAGGAGGTCCCTCCTCAGCCTCACTTGGTGGTGGAAAACGACAGTCCAGAGACGCCAAGAGCAGAGACCTGAAGACCTTCTCCGGTTCCCTCCCTGCAGGACCCACAGGCAGGGTTTTTACTTTTAAACTGTTTGCTGCTTATACTTCTCGCTTCTTCCCTTTTTGCGGTATGAGCTCTTAGCTAAATTTATATTTTATTTGTAAAGCCAAACCCAAGGGAGAAAGGGAAGGAGGGAAGGTGCAGGGAGGGGGGAAAGGGGAAGGAGGGGGTGTGGGGGTGAGGGAGGCCAGAGGAGGAGGGAAGAGGGATTGGATCCTTCTAGGGAAGTGAGATGGGCCTGAAGCAGAGAGGGAAGCCAGCTTTGCAGGGAGAGGCTGGCAGCCGGAGCACCATGGAGAGAGGCTGGTGCAGGAGCGAGGAAGAATCAACCGATGCCCCATCTCGGTGGCCCAGGATGCTGAGGCTCAGGGCCGGGGATGGGGGGGTGGGGGGTTGCCAAGGGGCCAGAAGGGTGTAGCGGTTAAGCACAGCCTCCGGCACAGCAGGCCTGCTTCCAAAGCCCAGGTCCACTGTTGGCAAAATGTGGGACCTGAGCAAATCCCTTTCCCTCACGAGGCTTCATTCAACTTGCCTTTATGGGGGGAAAATAAAAGCAGGACCTGACAGACACAGCGAACAACGTTCATTACAACGTTGTTGTCGTCAGTGTTATCATCAAATAGTGGGACCGTAGTTTTTAACTATTCCACAATTTCCCCTGCCCAAGCCTTTCCCTCTCCCATGCCCCTTCTTCCCAGAAAGGCATCCCGGTTATTACCGGTTAGAATCTACTCGGCAAAGAGAAGGGGAGAACCAAACGCAGAAAGAAAGGGCCTGTCCTCCTAGTTTCAGATTTCAAAAGCCCAGGCCCTAAGAAAAATGGGAAGGATTCGCAACTTTGACAGAAGACAGGCCGAAGCAAGACTGCCCTTCTCGCGATACCAGGGAAAGAAATCTCCAGCCTGGGGGAGGGGAGGGAAAAAGCGAGATCAAGAGAAGTGGAAAGAAAGCACTAGAAGATATTGAAAAGATGTCAGAGGGTCCCAGAGAGAAAGTCCTTGTTCCCTGATCCGAAGGCAATTGAACATCCAGGCAGAGTTTTGGGATCCGAGAGTCGGACTGCACCCCGGCAAGGAGACCTCATGCAGCAGCTGGGTGGATGGAGCCGCCCACAGCCTTGAAGGGCTGCTCTGCCCGCTCATAGCACAGCAGCAACCAAATGATTTCTGTGTCCCCGGGAGAAGCAGAGAAGTCACAGAGCGACAGTCCAGAATGGAATTCACGCAGCGAGCATCTCAGGACCCTACGGAGCTGATACTCAAAGCCCAATGCAGTCGATGGCCATTGCCATGGGCGCCACCAGGGACGATGCACCCTTCCCCCACTCTTTAAGTCCCCCCAAAATGGGGGGAACAGGGATCCCCAAAGCCACTAATGGCATCTTCTCTGTGCCAGGCTCTTGTTGTTTTTTTTATTTGTTTAAATGTTTATTTATTTTTGAGAGACAGACAAGAGTGAGAACAGGCAGAGAGAGAGAGAGGGAGACACAGAACCCAAAGCAGGCTACAGGCTCCGAGCTGTCTGCACAGAGCCCGACACAGAGCTCGAACTCATGAGCTGAGAGATCATGACCTGAGCCAAAGTCAGAGGCTTAACCGACTGAGCCGCCCAGGCGCCTGCAGACACTTGCATTACAGCAATAAATAAAACATAAAAATCCCTGTCTTCATGGACGTTACAGTCCAGTGGAGAGAGACGGACAATAAAGTTAATAAATAAATTATATAATGTACTGATACATGGTAGGGAGAAAGAAAGCAGAGGAAGAGATAGATGGAAAGAGCTGTGGGGATGAGAGTACACTTTCAAATAAAGCAGTTGGGGACAGGCTCGTGAAGAGGGGGACATTTGAGGAGAAGGAGCCACAGAAGCTGAGAAAAGAACACGCCGTGTAGGTAGCTACAGGAGAAACACGCCGGGCAGGGGGGGGGGGGGGGGGGCGTGGACACAATGGAGGCAGGGGCCTACCAAGCAGGCTCCAGTAGAGCTGAGGAGCCCCGAGTGGTGGGCAGGGGTCATGAGAGGATTTTGAGCCGAGAAACGACACGACCTTGTATTAAAGGGACACTCCGCTGGCTACTGTGTTAAGAACAGACGGGCGGGATGGAGGGTGATGACGATGAAGGGAAACCAGCCAAGGGGCTACTGGGAAGCTCCAAGCAGAAGCTGGTCACTGGAGGAAAGCAGTGCGAGAAACTGAGAGGCCAAAGTCGGAGAGAGACCATCAGTGTGGATAATAGAGGACGTGATAACAAGAGCTTGAGTCTTCCTGAGCCGGGGGACGAGCCAGAGGTAAGTGGATGGGTAACTCAGCAACGTGGTGTTTGTGGAAGCTGAGGTTTTAAAGGGGTTCATCAAAGAAAAGTACCAGGAGGAAAGCATCAGCAGGGAAATCACAGGCCTTCCGGAGACCCGGCTGATGAGGGAAGGAGACGCACCCGTTCTGTAGGCTACCATTTTGTCCCCGCCCCCAGCGGTGCCTTCTGGCTTCAGTGGCTTCCAGACACAGTTACTATTCCATTTCACTTATCTCTCCGGGATGCTCTGTAAGTAGTATCCTTTACTTAGTCTCCCTTTTGTATAGCTTTCCATTTTTCTTGTCTTTCATGCACATAAGAAGTACACAAAATAACACGGTGAACATCCATGTGCCTCCTAGTAAGCTTCAAAGAATTCTAAAATTCTTATTGCTTATTATCTTAATTTCCAAGTAGCCTTCTCCCACCTCTCCCTCTAAGTAACTGTTCTCTCAAATTTGATGTTTAGCTTCCCTAGGTATTTTTTATACTATTTCATTTTTTCCCCTTTAAATGTGTGTGTGTGTGTGTGTGTGTGTGTGTGTGTGTTGTTGTGATTTTCAAACTTAACAAAAATGGTAGTAGTTATTACTTCCACTTCTGGTCATGGCAGAATAAGAGAGACCAGACTTACTCTCCCACCTTAAATAAGTAGAAAACCAGACAAAAAGAGGTAAAATAATGGAGAAAGATTATGCAAGAGGACAATTCCAAAGAGACTGAAATGAAACAGGCACTGTGACTGCCCAGCTTACTGCCTGGGGTGGGCTCCCAACTCCGAATACAGGGAGGTGGGACTCAAAGGGTCCAGCAGTCTGGTTGAGGAAAAAGAATCTGGCATCTAGGAGATCACCACAGTTCAAATTTATGGGACAAGAACACCAGAGAAGGTGGCTGCACAGAGAGATTTCCAGAGATCTGCAAAAGGGTCCCCGGGTGTCCCTAGCTGTGATTTGTCTTTTAAATTTGCTTGAGGGTGGGGGTGGGGCACCTGGGTGGCTCAGTCGGTTGAGCATCCGACTTCAGCTTAGGTCATGATCTCACAGCCTATGAGTTAAAGCCTCATGTGGGGTTCTGTGCTGACAGCTCAGAGCCTGAAGCGTACTTCAGATTCTGTCTCCATCAGTCTCTGTCCCTCCCCCATGCTCGTCCAGCACACGCGTGCTCTCTAATATAAATTTGTAAAACTTTTAAAAATAGAGAAAAAGAGGACAGCATGGATATTTGAAGGGATTCGGCCAGACATTTTCCAAATTTAAAGAACCCATCAAGTTATCTATTGAAAGAATACCTTTCCTTCCGTAGGAGGGATTCTGGCATCCATGATTGAGATCATAACCTATTTTCCTTTCTTATGACATCAAAGAAACCCTGGACTATGTGTAAGAAGAGAAGGATCACATTTCCTTTCCACCACACTTCCATAAGAATCACTATTTGCAACTAAAGTGTATGTGTAAGTTCAGAAGTACACCACCCAAGGACATGATCTCTGGTAGGAACTTGGTAGGGGGATGGGGCTCTGTGTTGCTTATAAAGAACAAAACCAAACATTCAGAACTCAACAAAGCAGATGAATACACTGCGGTGTGCTTTCTCAGGAGAAATAAAGAACCTCGACCCTACTTCTCTCCTGTGCAATGGCCGTGCTGAGGCAGAACTATCTTCAAGCACAACTAGAGTTTTCCTCTATTCCCAGGATGGCTCTATTATAGGAATAATTCAAGGCGGACAGGGAAAGCCCTAAGATCTTATCTAGAGAAACAGTATTTCCTCAAACTCTGATATATTCTTTGAAATGCAGGTTTTATGTAAGTCTCAGTAACTGTGACATTATGTTACAGTAATAAGCTGAGTAACAACTGTTTCCTCTCCACAAGCTCCGAGTTTTGAGAAAGGTCAATAAAACAACATTGGTCCCAAAGAGGGTGCTATGGGAGAGAACTTTCTCCAATTTTCCAAATAGGCTGTCAGATAGGTCCAAAAAAGAAATCTACCATCACTTTTTTTTTTTGCCTTCTAACTTTTTTGGGTTGCAATATTATTGCCATTACATATTTTAAGGAAACTAAAATAAGAGCTCATAAAAGCTAAATAGTGACCCACATCTGCAGAGCCCTGAATGCCAGAGCTACAGTAAGAATCCAGTCGTTTCTGGCTCCAAAGTCCACACCCTTTTCAGGATCCTTTATTGCTTAAAATGATTTGCTCTGAAAAGCTATGATACAGTAATCAAATAAATTTTAGATAAAATCTCCAGAGCTATCATACCACTTTCAGAACTATTTATATGATGTTTCTTTATGTCAATAGTTAGGTGACAGTATTAACCTGTTACTGAAGCTATCCCTAATTCAACGTATCTACTACCATCTGCTTACAAAAGGACTCATTCTTCCATTATCAACAGCAGAGAGGCATATATCCACAGGATCCAAAAGCAGCTTCAAATCCCTAAGATGTCTGTTAAAGATGATGTTATTAAAAACAGGAGCCTATAGGGGCGCCTGGGTGGCTTAGTCGGTTAAGCGTCCGACTTTCGCTTAGGTCATGATCTCGCGGTTTGTGGGTTCGAGCCCCGCATCGGGCTCTGTGCTGACTGCCAGCTCAGAGCCTGGAGCCTGTTCTAGTCTGTGACTCCCTCTCTCTCTGACCCTCCCCTGCTCACGCTGTCTCTCTCTCTCTC